GATTAATTATATATAGGAGGTAGTTTCCCTCCAAAATAAAGATAACTCACTAGAGTTCGACTCAACGAAGAGTCTATTATCTATCTTTGAACATTTTGCGCATATAATTATACACACTCATTCCCCCAATTCCCAATAAACTATCTCTTATCCCGTAATTCCGAATTAGAGCCTCGTGACGTAGTCTAGAGCTCTATTTGCCCTAATAACTCGGACCAAGTCTTTCCACGCCTTCTTTCGTGCCTTCCACTATTAGGCCCAGTAGAGTTTAGCGGTTATAGAGTGTTGATTTGTATTAGTTTAGTGTGGATAGATATCCGTGAGGGCATATTTCGATATTAGGGATCGATTTTACCCTTCTCAACGTACGTGGATGATAACTGTCAAAATATGGGCCTCACAATGCAATAAACACTAATACTATCTAATCTAAACCCCAATAGTGGAAGGCTACGAAAGAGGCGTGGAAAGACTTGGTCCGATCTGAGTAATTAGGGTGATAGATTAGAGTTCTATACTGCATCACGAAGCTCTAATATGGGTTACGGGATTAGACTACTGATTCTATGCAAATTTGACTTATCGGGGGATTAGTAGGACAAATATTATCCTTAACAACTAACTCCAACTGAGTTTCAAACTCTGAGTATCTTTTATCGAGACAAAAGTCGGTGCTTTTATAACTTTCGCGCTTTTAGTAAGTACATCGTGTGTTTGCTATTTTTATCTACCCTATGAAAAAATAGTTACAAAAATAAAAAAAAAATTAATATAGTGTATACAGAATAATAAGGTCATACAATAAATTAATACTGAAAAAGTATATCAAATAGATACGGAATTACTGTTGATACAGAATTAATACTTAATTAATATATTGAATAGATTCGGAATAGAGTTAATACCTCTATCCGGATTTATATATCCGGATATATACTATGTCATGTGATATAGCGTGACATAATGCTTTTATATCCGGATATAAATAAATCCGGATTTAAATTTATATCCGGATTTATACTATGATAAAACCGGATTAATCCGGATATAAAAAATATATCCGGATTGAGGTATTAACTCTAATTCGGAATTGCCGTTGCTACAGAATTAATGCGTAATTAATATATCGAATAGAAACAGAATTGCCGTTGCTACAGAATTAATACAATCAGACCTCTCTATAGTCACCTCCTATATGAGCACATTTTCTTTATAAGCATGTTTTTTTAAAAACAACCTACTATTAAATATAATAAATTTGACCTCTATAATTATCACAATTCTCTACAATCACCCATTTTTGTATCCCAAGTGTGTGATTATAGAGAGGTTTGACTGCAAATTGAATAGATACGAAAACACTGTTGATTCAGAATTACTTAGTTAATATACGGAAATAGTGTTGATACTCTAACACTTTCTACTGGTAATAGCTTTATGCTAGGATTGAAAATTCAAGTTCATCACTGGCATAAAGGTAAATATTGTAGGATTTCTATTTTCTTGTAGATACGTAATTCTCTTAAATTTGATTGTTTTTTTTATTCACCATTTGCAGGCTTTTCTAAAACCTTCTATGGCAGGTCCATATTTGTAGGTTCTTGATAACGGATAATTACTTTATATTCAAATTCGTTTATCACAATGTTCAGGGTCTTCCACCTCATTAACAAGGTTCGGTTTAGTAGGTCTATCATAATCTTTGAACGCTTCATATTCATCGTTTTCGACTTAAATTTCCTCAGCATTATTCATCTTGGGGTTTTTTCTTTTTTGCTTCTAGGTGCATCTGTTTGGACTTTCACCTCATTTTTCCTTGATCATTTGCTTTGGTCCTTATGTTTCATAGGTTTCTTAGCAGCATTCATTTTAATCTGATCCTTGGCTTTTTTGTGCTTTTTACAGTACTTCAGCTCGTTTGTGTTTCTAATTTATTATCCCTGGCTCTTCTTTTAAACTTCTCAGCTCTTTCTATTTAGGCTTTACAAGCGCCATTCGAACTTTCTTATTCATATTCTTCATGCTTCTTAGGTTCATTCATATCTTTGCCTTCAGACTTTCTAGTCACCTTTTTTTAACTTTTTGACCTTCTTTATCCAGGTTTTACATGCTTGTTTGAGCGCTTTATGCTCAGCATTCTCAATGCCAACTTCCTTGTCATTTACACCAATGCTCACATCAGTGATTTGGCCTAAACAGATCAAATTGGGCGAAACTAGTTTCGGAGGGTTTCGGACTTATTGGGCGAAACTAAAATTCCTCTGGGCGAAACGTTTCGGACTTTGGGAGAGGTTTAGGCCGAAACACTGGCTCACATCATCGGGTACTAAGTTTTCGACCCATCTTCAGCTCCAATTCTTCTTTCACAACAGAAACCGAGATTATATATTTTGTCATTTTAGCGGATCTTTGGAAATGGATGAGCATCTTATGTTCATCCGCTTCATATCCAAGTCCACTTTTATTGTAATTTTCAAAAATTTTTGCGAATACGTACTGTAGAATATGCAGAATCGAAATTTTGCCTTCCGCGTACTAAAAAAGCTTCCTTAACCAATTTTATTACATAATCACCAAGTCTTTAACCTTAGCCTAAACGAAACCCTAACGTAAATGAACTTTCAGACTTTAAGACACTTTTAGTGCTCACGTGCCCGAGTTTCTTTTTTGCTGGGAAAATCGACTAATTTTGAACTAGCTCTAAAATTCGGGCTCAGGTCCGTCCGAAATTGACTACTTAGTATTCCTATTTTAGACATATTTTTGTGAGTGGTACAAGCAATGCCTAACGCCTTTTAGTAGGTTCGAGATTGTATGGCAAGTATGAGTTTTTGTGTAAATGTATCACAAAGAGTATTTTAACACATTCTTGTATTTTCATTTTTTTTTCTTTAATAATGATTGTGCCAGGATATTTCCGTTAGCGATTGTGCTAGGATAAGTAAATTTACTTTCCAGTTGGCTATTGTCTCTTGAGTGTAGTACCTACCTAACAAAGTAATAAAATTTTAATGCATAGAAATGCACATCAGCCCACTGGATCAACAGATCTCTTCTTTTTTTAAAATACAGCTCTAAATAACGTTAAACTTTGCACTACGTAACATAATGTACTGTACGCTTAAATATGTTTTTATTCTTTACCGTTACTATTTAGGACAAATAAATAAGATAAACATGATTCAAACCTGTTATTATCATCGCGTGTAACAAATTTATAAAAGGATTTATTAACTAGAGATAATTGAAATTTCGTACTTACGTTCGTGCTTAGACATTAATCATAACCTTGTCTTAATCATGTCTACAAAAGAACTTTTTGACTTTGCTGCCGATTTATTGACCGTTTACATTCCTGTTATCAACGCAGTGAAACTGCTAGTTGACGAAATTTATCAAATTTATCAGAATGCAGAATGTAATAAAGAACTTTGCGCTGTTATGGTTGATCGAGTAAAAGCAGCAGAATTTTCTATGGATAAGATAGTTAGAAGCATAGAAAAGAAAAAGGAAGATTTTCAAAAAAAATCATATTTTATTGCTTTTGAAAGATTCAAAAACACTTTAACACAAATCAAAGAATATTGTAAGAGTATATCAGTACTTAAAGGCTATAAAAGATTTCTTCACGCAACTGATGTTAAAAATAAATTTGAGCAATTAAGAGATGAATTTGATAGATGTATGACTGATCTAAATTTTGCGTTCGATGTTTCTAATGCAATTGACAGAGAAGAAGAATCTGAAAGAGTTGATAAATCTTTAAAAGAAGTTAAAGAAGTAAGTTTAGTTTAGTTATTATTAAACATATAACTATTATATTCATTATAAACTTTTTTTATTTTTATCTAATTTAGTCACTCGAACAACTTAATATTACACTTGATGAAGTAAGTTTAGTCATTCAGAAATATAATATACTTATTATATTAATTATAACTTTTTTATTCCAGAACTTCAAAAATGTTGATTGTAAGCTTGATGATGTAAATAATGTAAGTCAAATTATTTGGAAATATAACAACATTATGATATTAATTTTAAACTTTGTGTTTGTCCAATTTAGAACCTTAAACAGGTTAACGATAAGATTGATGCAGTAACTCAAGGCATATATTTTATGCAAACGACTAAACAAGGTGATGCGAAAAAGGTTGAACCAAATGAATTAGATGATCCAAAGACACCAATTATGAGAGGAAGAGTCTTTAAAAGAATGTATAAATCATTAATAGAAGTTGCATGTAAACCTGTGGATGGTCAGAATGAAAACGAAATGGCAATCCTCGGAAAATTAGGTCTATCACCTCAAATTCTCAAGTTTTATGGGCACTCGGTAGTTGATAACGTCCAAGTTATGATTTTTGAATGGGCTGAACGAGGAAATTTAATGGAACTTTATAATCAACATGACATTCCTTGGACTAGAAAAATACAAATTGCCAAAGATATACTTCTTGGTCTTCTATTCTTACGTACAGTAAATGTTTTTCATCATGATGTTAGGTGTGAAAATGTTTTTGTAAGTATAATATATAATATTTTTTACGGTAATAGTCTAAAAAATAATAATTTACTAACACTAAATTATAGGTACTAAGAGATTTGAGTGTAAAAATTGGGAACTTCGGATATGCACGTGGAGTAGATGAATTTTCTAGTGATATTTCAAGACTAGCAACTTACATTGTTCGTTGGATGTCTCCTGAGCTAATCAGAAAATATATTAGTAACTATAAAGAAAACAAAGACAAAAAAGTATATACACTTCATTGTGAAATGTTCAGGTAATTTATGGTTATTTTAACAGCATTTTCTTTATATTATATCCACTTAATTATTATTTCAATTAGTTTTGGAATGCTCGTATGGGAACTTTGCTATGAAAAGATGCCTTATGCCGATTGGAATATTAAACAAATATCCGATCATGTCTTGAGTGGTAAACGAGAAAAACTTTTAAAAGGAAAATTTAAAAGCACTGCCGATAGAGAAATTCAACTAGAATTTATTAAAATCATTCAAGAAGGTAATTCTATTTAGATTTTTTATTTATTTTATTTATTAATTATACTATATTTAATTTACCCGTTGTTTACTTAAAAAGCGTGGTGCCATCAACCTGAATTACGAGTAACTATTCCTGCACTAAGACAAAGACTTGAAGAATTAGCCACTAGATTCCCAGTTCCCCTTGAGGAACCGGCACTTTTTAGAAATTATGCATTGGATCTTGATGGACAAAAATCGGGTGAATCTTTGCCAGAATTTGATGAAAATCCTGAAATTGAGGATGAAATTCCTGAAGAAGAAGTGATTGATGAAGTTGCCGTTATACCTCTCAAGGATGGTATAGAGATGCATAAAAATAAGGAATATAAGAGATCATGGGAATGCTTCAAACAAAATGCTGAACTTAATAATCCGGTAGCAAAATTCTGGGTAGGGTATTATTTACTTTACGGACATCATGGAGAAAAAGATCCAAGTCAGGCCAGAAAGTATTTCAAGCAAGCTGCTGATGAAAATAATCATTCTGAGTCACAATGTAGATATGCAGTTTCATTGCTTGGTGAGCTTAGCAAAGTGAGTAATGAAGCTGAAAAGGATAAGTTACGTAAAGAAATAATTCGCTATTTTGAATTAGCGGCTGAAAATCCCGAAAATCGAAATACTGATGCAATGTATTATTTGGGAGATATTTATATAGCTGGAAAACTTAAAGTAAAGAAGGATGATAAACGTGGGGAATATTATTTAAGATTAGCTGCCAATAATAATAGCGAAAGAGCAATTGCTAAATTAAAAGAGTTGGGTAAATGGAATAAGTAGAATAGTTTATATTTGAAAAAAAATCTTTATATATTAGGTACTTTTTTGTATTTTAAGTTTGTAACATTATTTTATATAAAAATTTCGTTATTTGAACCTAAATCATAATTTATGTGATATAAAGATGAAAATTTTTTATCTTTACAATTCGCCATTTATTTAAAAAAAAGTATTTGATTATCGATCGCATAATTTGTTGCACATAATGATTTCACGAGCACAAATCTATGAATTTATATTACAAAATTTTCACCCTAAAACAAATTGTTGCTGAGGCTTTACAAATCAATTGTGTGAAGAATGAAAAAAGATAAAAGACCACATATTAAAAATACAATATAACGGCGGATTTACAGGATTGGACCTTTTTTAAGACCCAAATTTCATATAATTTTACAAGTAAACCATCTTATCTCTAAGATCTAATTGGTTTACGCTTATCTAATGGGTTTGTTTATATGATCAGTTTTAATCATTAGGGTCCAGTTTCAATTCCGTAAATCCGACGATATGAGTATTTTTTGTATTAAACATGATTAGCT